CGGCCAAGCACGTAGCACGCCAGATCATGAACGAGTGGTTCAAGCATTACGGCGTGCCAGAAAACATCGTGATCGATCAGGGCGGCGAGTTCGAGGGCTACTTCAACGCGTTGATGGAGCAGTTCGGCATTAATACGAAGACGACGGGAGCTCATGCAGCATGGCAGCATGGCCTGGCCGAGCGCCACGGAGGATTGCTCGGCACTATCTGGGGCAAGGTGGTGCACGAGTTCCACGTCCAGGGCAAGTCGATGTCTACTGTGGCCCTGGCTGCCATCATCAATGCGAAAAACTCCACGATCAGCCGCAATGGATTGACCCCGGAGCAGGCTGTCTTCGGGCGGATCTTGAACTTTACGGAGGTGACTAACAGGGACGACGATGAGGTTCTCATGTCGGTCCTCGGCGCCAAGGGCATAGCTTGGCGTTCGTCCCAAATCCGCACCGCAGCAAAGATGATGTTGCTGGAGCGCGACGCGACGGACAAGGTGCGGAGGGCGCTGCTACGACAGGCGCCGACGGTCGTCGGTGATCTGTGCCCAGGATCGAGGGTGTATTTCTGGGCACCGAATCCGTTCAAGGGACGTCGTCGGCAAGATCCTGAAAGATGGCGGGGTCCTGCGACTGTGATCGCGAAGGAGTCCAACAGCCGTTACTACGTATCCTGGCGTGGTCACGTGCTACTTGTTGCTCGTGAGCAGCTCCGGCACGCCTCCTCCCAGGAGGCCGCAGCTGCGGAGTCCATCCAGACGGACGTGCGACTGACACAGCAGCGAGATGACCGCGCTTACCACGACATCGTGGACGTCACGCCCAAGGTGAAGGTTCAGAAGGTGAAGAAGACGTTCTTGAAGAAGGAGCGTGACCGACATGGGGAGCTCGAGGGGTCCAGGCAGCCTCGTGTGGACCTGAGGGCCCTGGACGCCATTGAGGCACAGGCCAAGGAGGAGGAGCCGCCTGAGCAGCAGCAGCTGCCGCAGCTTCCCCCTCCGAAGAGGGAACGTTCTCGTTCCCCTCCAGGGCGGATATCCTCTGAGGTGTACCCGAAGGCCTCTCCGGGAGCATCGGGCTCTGGCGGCCCTTCGGTGCCGCCGATTCCCAGAGACGATTTCGAGCTTGAGCGAAAACGGAAGTTCCTGGTAGATGACGTGCCGATTTGCATCAAGAAGACGCGTCTGCAGGCTGCTCCTACGAGTGGTTTGCCGGCCCTCCGCGAAGTGGCCATGAACGCCGTTGTGCACTCGGGGCCTCAGGAGTGGTTCGACCAGAATGCCTTGGATGGTGTCTCCACGCTCGTTCAGAAGGTCGTACGAGGAGTACGTGTACACCGAGAGCCACGGCGGAGACTCTATGATCACGACCGCCACCGGGAGTGCAATCGCCTCTCGGTGATGCTCTCCGCTACGGGCCAGTGTGCCTACAAGGACGACGGCGCGAACCGTACCAACGAGCGCACGGAGGACAGCTGGGTTGGTCTCACGCTTTTCTACCACGACAAGCCGGACGCTCATGCACAAGGGGTGTACTATTTGGACACTCCGGAGGGGCTTGTACGACAGCCGATGACTTACGAAGAATGGATCAACGTGTCATCTGTGTATGACGCATGGCTGCAGGAGGCCAGGTACGAGCACGACGTGTTCGCACTCGTGATGAAGCAGAACGCGAAGGAGCTAGACCCACGTCACTTCAACCAGCACGAGAAGGCTAAGTTCGACGAGGCCGATGCCGCCGAGTGGCGGCAATGGATCGCCAACAACACGGTCGAGCTGGTCACCGAGGAGGAGGAGAAGAGCATCCCGAAGGACAAGATCATCTCGGTGCCCATGCGTTCGGTTCGCACGAACCGGGGACGAGGGCCGGAGCTGGAGGCGAAGTCTCGCTTGATCATCCCTGGCCATCTCGATCCGCAGCTTGGTCTATTCAGGACGGATTCGCCTACTACTTCCCCTTTGGCTGTGCTGGTGTGTGCGTCTATCACAATGGCGATGGATTGGACATTCGAATGTTTCGACGTAGCGACTGCGTTCCTGTCCGGGCTGAAGCTGGAACGGGAGCTGTATGTGAGGGCTCCTAAGGACGGGCTTCCAGCCGTCGACGGTGCTGGATGGCCAGCCGTGCGGCCTTATGCGTTGCTGCGCTTGCTGAAAGGGGCGTACGGTCTGACTGAGGCGCCTCGGTTGTGGTATCTCCGAGCCCGCCAGGTGTTGACGGACGAGGTCGGTTTCGTGGAGCTGCGCTGTGCTCGAGCTGTCTTCGTTTATCGAATGAAAGACAAGTTGATCGCTATGTTGACCTTGCACGTCGATGACGGCATGCTGTTTGGAGACCCACACGATCCCCAGTACCAGGAGGTGAAGGCGAACATCAACAGTCGTTTCAACATCAAGCACTGGAAGAAGGGCAACGACAAGGAGGCAATCGCCTATCTCGGTGAGGAGTGGTGGCGCCACCCTGATCACATCGAGATCAGCATGCACGAGTACATCGGCAAGCTGACGAGGCACCCCCTTGCAAGGGGTGACAACGAGGAGCGGGAGATGACTCCCGAGGAGCACCACGACTACCGGAGCTTGCTCCAGAAGGTGCGGTGGCCTGTCGCACGCGTGGTGCCACAACTCGCGTATAGTGTCTCGGCGCTCGCACAGAAGGATCCGAAAGGTCGGAGGTTGCTGCACCTGCGAGTGCTCAATGACATCATCGACCGGCTTCAGGACTACGACAAGAGAGGTCTTGCGACTCTCCGGATCCGCCGTGTGGACATCGAGCGCTTGCAGGTGCTCACGCTTATGGACGCTTCGTTTGCGAAGGAACCCGGCTGTAAGAGCCAGATGGGGTTCATGAGTATGATTACGGACACCCGAGTTTTGAAGGAGCTAACCGTATGCTGTCTAGTGGAGTTTCAGAGCAGTACTATTACACGAGTTGTTGGATCTACGATGGCCGCAGAATCTGCGGCTATGTCCGTGGCTTTGGATCGGCAGCTTTACCTCAGGCTGCTGATTGAGGCAATCTTGTACGGGGAGCCGCCCTTGCAAGGGGACTGGAGGCTGGCGCTGAAGGTTCCAGGGGCGCTCGTGACGGATGCGAAGTCGCTCTACGATCACACGTCCAAGATCGGGTCGATGCCGGTGTCTCGGCAGACCCTCATTGACTTGCTGGTGGCCAAGGATTTGATAGAGCAGGAGGCCACCAAGTTCAAGTGGCTGCCTAATAGCCACATGCTAGCGGATGTGTTGACAAAAGCCGTGCAGCCTAACGAGGTACTATCGCAGTTCCTCCGCCACGGCCTGTTCAGCATGGTGCCTACTGCTGAGCAAGAGGATGAGGAGGCACACCGTCTGCAGCTGCGCCGCGGACAGCGTGAGCGAGCCAAGGAGCGAAAGGCCCAGCGTCGGGTCGCCGTTCCAGGGCCTGCGAGCCCGTGAGGTCCTGATTGCAGCTGCTGATGGACCTAGTGAGAGCTACGGGGATGTATGCATATCCTTTGAGTTGATCGTCTGGAGTAGTGTATCCAGATATTCATATTCTTGTATTTATATTTTGAGCCTCAGGCCGCACCTTGCTTGAGGTGTCTCATGCATATCTTTTGAGTTGACAGTCTGGATTGGTGAATCTAGACATTCATATTTATATTTCGAGCCTCAGGCCGCATCTGCTTGAGGTGTTTCGGCCCGTGGGCTGATATACATTATAATTGCGTGCAGCGTTGCCCTTTCAGAGGGAGCGGCATCGGGGCAGCATTGTACTCACCCAGTGTGAAGAGTGCACTCCCCTGCCCCTCTGCCGCCCGTGCCACCATGTGTGTATGTTGTACACGCTTGTCTTGTTTTGTGGCATGCACGCTGCCCGCCGCTGTTTTGGCTCAAGTCCTAGGGCCCTGGGACGCACCCGCAGTTGGACTGCCGCGCGGTCTTTGCTGAAAACAACTGCACTGACAGAATCGTCCCCAGACATTTTTTGCCAGTTTTGAATTTTCCAGCTATGGAGGGACATGCCCGACTTACAGAGTAGAGGAACACACAACTCTTAACAGACATAAGCTTCGGGAGCTCCGCGCGGACTTCTCTTGGATTGGCGCTGGGACCCCCTTGGCGCCGCTCCGCGCAGGATGGCGGTCTGGCGCCGATCCTAGAGGAGGAGGAGGAAGAGGAGGAGGAGGAGGAGGAGGCGGAGAAGGGGAGGAGAAGGAGGAGGAGGAGGGGGAGGAGGGGGAGAAGGAGGAGGAGGCGGAGGAGGAGGAGGGGGAGGGGAAGGAGGAGGAGGAGGAGGAGGAGGAGGAGGAGGAGGAGGAGGAGGAGGGGGAGGAGGACAGCCAGGCGAACCTCCGAGAATTTCATGTGTCGTGCCGTTTGCCGCCCTTCGCGGAAGAGCGGGGGCAACCGGAGGGCCCCGCCGTGCGCAGCAGGTCTGGCGCCGTCCCCTGCTGCGGCCTCTGCGCCAGGGGGCGCCAGGACCCACGCGGTATAATTCGAGGGAGGCGAGAGAGACCGGGGACGACGCCCGGCAGCCAGATGCCGTCGGGCAGGCAACGCTCATCCTAAATCCCCAGACCCCCGACGTCACGACTTTTTCACTACGTCGACCCCTGGAGGTCTCGACCCATTCCCCTGGACGGGTGTTTCATCCCGAGTCGTTTTTGACGGTCCCGAGGGTCGGTAAGGGTCCCCGGAGGCCGAAGTTAGCGACAGACACATATCCCGTCGTGGTTTTCTAATTGCCCGAGGGGGTCTGGGTCACGCCGCGACGCCGACAGAATCCAGATGTACCATAGCTCCCTTCTCTGCGTCTCCACGTCGGTCCTCCCATGGCCCAGGCATCCGACCATCTGACTCTTTGCGTCCGCGGCCTCAGGCCTCTTGAACACTGGACCTCGATCCTCGAAAGACGGCCGCTGCGACGACGACCACGACGACGACGACGACGACGACGACGGCGGCGGCGGCGGCGGCGACGACGCCGGGGGCCGCTGGCTGCCCCTCGCGCGCCGAGGCGGCGGCCGCTGCCGCCGCACTCGCTGCCAGAGTCGTCATCGTCACCGTTCGAGAGGTCGTGCAGGGCCGCCTCGCGCTGCAGAGCCTTTGGGGGGGCACGTGAGCGTTTTCTGATTCGGCGTTTCGACACTGGGCGGAAGGGGGGGGGAGGGGGGGTGGTCTGGCTCCGGACCTCTGGATAGCGCGACTGTTTGCAGCAGTGCGTCTGATGGGGGAGACTCCACCTGCTCGAAACAGGCGCCAGAAACAGCCAAGATCTACTCCATGGGGATGGGGGAGGGGGAGGAGAGGTGCGAGGGCTCGCGCCGATCGGCAAAACAACTAATAAGAAAGTATCACTTGGGGGGCACCGCCGCCACTCTGCTTGATCGATCCTGCACTACGATCCACGGCCGCCCCCTTCGGTGCAGCATGCTCCCGCCCGGGACTCCCGTCGTGGGGACGAAAAAAGCAGACGCAGCGTGCCTCGACCTGTTCTGCCTCTGGTGGCCTTCCCTGGGCCGCGTGGGCAGCCGAACAAGACATTGCTCGGGGTGCCAGGCCCGTCCCGGGGAACTAGGGCTCCCAACTTCGCGCTTCGCGCTGCGCGAAGCGCGAAGCGCGAATAACTTCGCGCCCTCGCGCCGCCCTCCCAAAGGGAGAATAGGAGGACGAGGAGGAGGGGGAGAAGGAACGAGGACCGCGAAGCGCGAAGCGCGAATAACTTCGCGCCCTCGTGGGAGCCCTTGGTCGGAAGTGGTCCCGACCTCCAGGCGTCCAGGCCTCGAGAGGATCGCGACATCGGAGGTCTGCGGGGGGGCCAGAGCTCTCGCAGCACGTCGGGGCCTGCCATACACCCCAAATTCCCAGGCTCCTCTAAAAGCACCGTGTACGGCCAGACGCGCACAATCGCCCACGCTTCTGTCGGGGAGACGTAAGACCCGGGTACGGGGGACTCGGAAATCCCCGACGAGGTCGTCAAAAAAATGACGAGGCCGAGCCTGCATTTTGACGAGGCCTCCCGCTGCAAACATCCCACAAAACTCCTCCTCGTCAAAATCCGAGTCGCGGTCGTCAAAAAACGATGGCGAACCCGAGTCCCGGCAAACCCGGGTCTTACGCTCCCCCGATTCTGGGGCTCCCGCAGGTAATCTTACAATCGGCCCCGCAGCACGTACGTGTGGGATGTTGGGAGCGGTGGGGGTCGTATCATGCGATCGCAGCCAGGGAACATACCAAGTGTACACTCGCGCACCAGGGGCATCGGTACATAGACCCCTTCTCAAGAACACCAAAAGGTACCGGTACCGCTACCCGGACCTCTCCTGGGGTGCGTTCCGACCCGCCTGTCAGTGTCTACCAGCCCGATCAGCCCGTCTGGTTATGCCACGTGTTTTCTGTGTCTAGCCCCCCTTATGCTGCTCTCTCTCTCTCTCGTCTCTCGTGTTCCATCCTCCTTCCTCCCCCTTGTCCCTTCCCTCCATCCGTCCTGGTTCTCCCCTGCCTCAGGGGCTGCACGAAATACACGTTGCAGGTAAGAAAGATCTACCCCCAAGGGGGTACGATCGAAGACGACAGAGTCATATTTTCCAACGGTCCCGAAGCCCGGGAAGTGCACCCAGAGGCAGCAAATAGCGAACGAAAACCTCCCGTCGTGATCTTTTATCACAGCGCGAGGAGGTCTGGTTTTCTGCCCCCACACGAGCGCTGCCTGGGTCGACTCTGGCAGGGCGCGGCCTCGACGAAAAGACGCGGGCCGCTGGCAGGAGAGCCCAGAATCGAATCGATAAGTCGGATCGGCGATCGAAATGAATCGGACCGGCGGAGATCGGCAGCCAGGTCGGGAGAGGTCGAATTGGCGGACATCGGCAGGCTGGTACGCCTCCAGTGAGGAGAATCGGAGCCTAGATCGGAATCCCAAGTCGAATCGAATCAGCGAAGTCGAACCGACTGGAGGAGGAGGAGGAGGAGGAGGAGGAGGAGGAGGAGGAGCAGGAGGAGGAGGAGGAGGAGGGAGGAGGGGAGGAGGAGAGGGAGGGGAAGGAGGAGGAGGGAGGAGGAGGAGGAGGAGGAGGAGGAGGAGGAGGGGGAGGAGGAGGAGGAGGAGGAGGAATCGGAAGCCATCGGAGGAATCGAAACGAGCCCCGGCTGGCGGCGGCCCGGACCGGGCGGGCCCCGAGCGGGGGAGGGGGCGCGGCGGCGGAGGCCGGGCCTCGGAGTACAGCGCCTCCAGGCTGCAGCTCTCGCGGCCCCGCCAGGTGCCGGCGGCGGGCTCCCACGGGGCCTATGGGCAGGAGGGGCGAGGGCGCCCAGAGCAGACAGCTGCTGCTCTTTCTCCATCCTCCTCCTCCCCTCCTCCTCCTCCTCCTCCTCCCTCCTCCACCTCCCCTCCACCTCCTCCACCTCACCTCCTTCCTCCTCCTCCTCCCCTCCTCATCCCCCTCCTCCCCCTCCCCCTCCCCCTCCTCCTCCTCCTCCTCCTCCTCCTCCTCCACCTCCTCCTCCTCAGCCACGAAGCATCTCGGGCAGGGCAGGCAGGAAGAGGCACGACTGCGCCGATGACCCTCAGGACGAATGTTCGCGCCCGCCAGCGTGCGCGCAGGCGGTGCAATAAGGGCCAGCACGGGCTGCGTGCTTTCGGTGGAGCTGCACGCGGCTGCATACATATATACACACACACACACATTTTGCGTCGCGGCCACGCGCGCAGCGACGCGGCAGAACCAGGCGGACGGTGCAAGAGGAAGCGAGCCTGGCCCTTGCGCAGCCACCGAGAGGGGGGGGGGACACACACCCCACGACGGGAGCAATGGAGGCGGCAACCGACAGCTGGACGACCGCGTGAGGGCCGCGGCTGCGGCGCACTGCAAGGAACGACTCGTTCAGGGCGACAGGCGCGGGACATGCAGGGACAGGGGGAAGAGGGGCAGGAGAAATGCTTGCGATGACGCCCGCTGCGCGCCGCCTTCTCCCTCCCCTCCGTCTCACTCCTGAGGGGGCAGACGAGGAAGGCTTCGTCCCGCGCGTGGGGGGCGAGGGCTTCGTCGTTCACCCGCTTCTCGCTTTCCGCCCCCTTCTGCCGAGCCCGAGGTCCTGGCGCCGCGCCCGAGCCTCTGTCCAGCGAGCAAGAGAGCAGGAGGGAAAGCATTCGAGAGGGCGGGGGGGACATCAGGGCCGGGGACTGCGGCGCGCGACAGGGAGAGAGGCGCCGCCTCCGCCGCAGTCGCCGACGCAAGTCCCCGCCGCCGCCGTCGCTGTCAATTCGTCGTCGCCGCCGCCGCAGCTGTCGCCGCCGCCGCCGCCGTCGCCATCGCGTGGCCGCCGCCGCCGTCGCCATCGCGTGGCCGCCGCCGCCGCTGCGGTGCGGCTTGGGGAGGACTTCGGAGCGGATCCGAGCGTGGCCACGAGGGCTCCCCAGGGGGCCCCAGGAGGGGGGCGAAAGATGTCGAGATCCTTGATCGCTGGTTGTCGTAATGCGCCAACGCGTAGTCGTCTTCTTCGGTCGCCGTCGTCGCCCTGTCGTCGTCGCATCCGTCGTCGGGCGGAACGAATCGAATCTCGGGCCTCTTCCTGGAACGCGTTCAGGTCAAAATCTCGAGGCGGACCCAGGAGTAGCCACGAGGGCACTCCAGGACGCCACCCAACAACACAGAGACAAAAACTCGATCGCTGGAGGAGGGCCAAATTAAACAACGGCGACTCTCCCGTCCAACAATCCGCTCAAGTCCCCGGACCCCGCTCAAATCTCCAGACCCCTCTAAGGGTCGATCCTGTCTCGCCTCTCAGGGTGCCTGTCGTGACGGGAAGCTTCCAGCAAGCCCGCGAACGGACGCCAGACACCAGGGAACGACACAACTGGTCTCGACCCTCCGCCGACCGTGGGATCCAACGGTGTGAAACAAAATGCGATCAGAGCCCTAAGTAACGCTATCTTTCTGCTGCATTTGTTCGAACCAGGTCGATATGTGATGGTCCGGGGGGCCCCGAAAGATGCGAATACGCCCGTTGCGACCAAAACTACGACGCCAAGATCCCTGAAATCCGATGTCGTGACCTTTGCCAGGCGGGGTCCACGTAAATCGCGACCCATTCCCCAGGACCGGTTTTTCGTCCTGAGTCGTTCTTGGACGGCCCCGAGGCCCAGCGAGGGCCCACAGGGGCCGCACTTTGCGAAAAACCTCTGTCTTGATTTGTTCAATACGTTGGATCGCTGGGATCTCAATGTCCTACGAGATGAGAGGAACAAAACACCATATAAACATAAACTTTCGAAGGTCCGCGCGGGTTTCCGCGATCCGCGCCAGGCCCCCCTCTCTGGCGCGCGGAGCGCGCCAGGGGCGGCGCTGGAGGCGCCGCAGGGGGGGGCCCAATGCGGATCCAAGAAACCCGCGCGAAGCATAGTTTATGTTTATCCAAGGCCGCCGCCACGCGAACGGCGATGTTGCTGAACGGTGATGTTGGAAACCGAACTGCAGGAAATCACAAACCACCCTTTCCTAAAATTCCGATCTGCGGATGTACCGAACGAAAACGGCACAACGCATTGCAAGAAAGCGCGGGCCGCGCGTTCCAACAATGCCGAAACCTATATCGCCGTGAACTGCATTCGCCGTTGGCGCGCCTACGGTTTGTGGCGTGTTTTCTGAATAGGCCCTGGGACACACACATTCGCCGGCCCAGGTTCACAATATTTCTAGCTCGCGCGCGCGGGGCGGCCCCTGGGGGTCCCTGGACGAAAAGTACCCCGGCAAGGTCCCGGGTGAAGCCCGCAGAGCGCTGCAGGAGCGCACCAACAGGGCCCCGAGACGTCCCCGAGTCCCAAGAAGGGCCAAGAGAGAGTCCCAAGAAGAGCCAAGAGCGCCCAAGAGGTTCCCGAGATGGTACACCAAGGGTCCGAGATGCCACAAGATCGCTCCAAGACGCTCAAGATAGCACCCAGACGCCCTTCAAGAGCACTCTCGAGAGGGCCCCAGGAGGCAAAATTCGCTGCTAAGGTTTTGGGGAGATTTTGGCGTTTCCCCCTTTTCGGCAGCGCGACGCCCCAAGACGGCCCAAGAGGCCCCCAAGATCGCCCCAAGACGGCCCAAGAGTCCCCAAGAGGGCCTCAAAACCGCCCCAGAGGGCCCCAAGACGACCCAAGAGACAGCCCAAGAGGCCCCCAAGACGGCTCCAAGAGGTTGTCCAGACGGGAGACCCGCACGGATATTTCGAGCCCTCGGCCCCGCGAGGCCCCCAGGAGCGCCCAAGAGGCCCCCGAAAGGCTCCCAAGAGGCCCCAAGAGGCCCCCAAGAGGCCCTAAGATGCCCCAACGAGGCCCTCAGGAGGCCCCCAAGAGGCCCCCAAGCGGCCCCAGGAGGCCCCCCAAACGCTCCCCAAGGCACGCAAGCAAGTGCCAGCGATGCTACAATATGGGCCGGCGGAGTGCGCGAAGCGATTGAACAGATACACACAAGTAACAGGATTCACCCTATTTTCACATATTCTCTGGGTTTTTGTCTTCCCCCCACTTCCCATATTTTCCTACATTTCCCTGGGGACCGACGATGCATCGTGTCTGTGTTTTGTCCCCTCCTGCTCTTCTTCTTCTTCTTCTTCTTCGAAGGATCCTCGACTGCCGCCGGCGCCTCGGGCACCTCGGGCGGCACCGGCGGCGCGGCAGGCGCCGCGGCGGCGCGCTCGGCGCCCTGGCCGGCGAGCAGCAGGCGGGCCTTCAGCGCGCGGAGCTGGCCCAGGCGGCCGTCCTGGCGCGCTCGGCCGCGGCCGGGGCTCCAGCCGCCGGCTTTGGGTCGGGCACGTCCTCTTACAGGCGGACTCTGGAGGGCCGATCGAAAACATACACAGAAGAGTTAAAAAAAATAGAACGATCGCATTCAAACTATTTTTGTGGACTATGCTGGGATGTCCCTCCTATGTAGAGGGACATGCCCGACTTCACGCTGGCCGGCGGCACCCCGCGCACCAGCACTGCCAGCGTCTCGAGAGAAACGCGAGGCACATCTGTTTCGCAGCTTCCGGCCTCTGGCTGGCTATCGCTCGGACGTCCATTCCCTGTGTTGTTTTTTTGTTTCGTGCGTGGTTTTTTCGCAGGATGATCCAGGATGCTCCTCAATGGTAGTAGTAATAATAATACCACTCATACTACTAATACTGCTAATAATGATAATAATAAGAAGAAGAATACTGATAATACTACAACTAATAATACTGATAAGATTCATATTAATAATCCCCGCCGAGAAAAAGTGCACACGTCCGAGCGATACCTAGCTGGGGCCCCTCGCAGGGCCCCAGAAGCGCCTGACAGGAACGCCTCGAGACAAACTGGCGAAGGTCCGCGCGGACGTTCGGATCGGCGCTGGGCCACCCTGCGGGCGCCTGCAGCGCCGACCCTGGCGCGCGCGGCACACCAGAGCGTGGGGTGCAGCGCCGAGCCTAGGAGATCCGGCGTGGACCTTCGGAAGCTTGTGCTTGCAGGGCGGGCGCGGCCACAAGATACCCTCGCAAGTAACCCAACCCTGAGAACCCTGAAAACCCGGAGCACCCTGAACGCAGCAATTCCTTCAACGGCTGCGGGAATTCACCGCGCAGCGCGAGGAGCGAAGAAACCCAGGATACCCTGACGAAGAACTTGACGCGCGCCCCCACTGTATGCCCTGGTGCGCAGCCGAAACATTGCCACCTGAACGTGGGTCCAGGTCGAACTCTCCGCCGAGGGCCGACGGACCCACGGATACCACCCCAAGTGACGAAACGAATATCCGAAGGTGGGAGGACCGAACGTTCGGAGCTGTTCTTAGGGCTACCTAACCAGGGTTGTCCTTAGCCCCGGTGCCGGCTGTACGGCAAGCGTCGAGGCGATAGGCGCCCGATAGCGAAGCCAGACGCTCCTGGGCGGGATGGGGCTCCTGTGCTAAGCCGCTCGAGGCGAAGAGGTCTCATGCCCCAGCGCTCTCTCTTGCCCTGGGGCAGAAGAGACGATAGGGCTGCTGACGCAGAGTCTCTGCACCCCCCCTCTTCCCCTGGGTCCCCCTCGAATGTCTCCTCCTCTGGGCGCTGATGCTGGTGATGCTGTCGCCGTCGCCGCTGCTCATACTGCTGCTGCTCGTCCTCGTGGATGCCCTGCGCACCAAGCAGTCCAGGCAAAGCTAGCCAAACTAATTGGACCAACCAAATCACGAGACTAGGTAGACCGCGTATAGCAGCCAACCGACCAAAAACCAAAGCCATCAAACAAACGAGACCAAACCAATCAGACCAGAACAGGCCAAACAGATGAACCACGCGACGAACCAGACCAAACCAACTGAAACAACAGGATCGGAGAAAAAACCTGCGCGAGCGGCCACACCGACGACACCTACAAACCAAGATCGGATACGAAAAAACGTTGCCGACCGGACCAACCAGACAAATCGGACGAGCCAGGCCAACCAGACCAAGTGGAGCAACCACGCCAGACCAAGCAGACCAACCAACCAAACCATCTATATACAAGAACAGCAAGCCCACACCAGCCACGCCAAGAAAACCCAGCCACACGAACCAGACCAATAAAACAACCGAACCAGACAAACCGAGCCAGTTGGTCTTACCAGACCAGACCGGCCAGACCAACCATGTGAACTACTCGACCAAAAATTGTTTCATTCCTTGGCGGTAACGCATGTTAGCCTCCTGGGGGGGGGGGTAGCGGTAACGGGGGCCACGGCGGCCCCCCCCCGAGGCACGTCGTCGTCCTCGTCATCGTCGTCGTCCAAGCCCAGTGCCTATGCACACATCACGGGCTCTGTACACCGCAATGCCTTTTGTGCGCCAGAACTACTGCAGAACTGGCATGTGTGCGCACCACGGCGACTGTACACACCAAAACAGCCGTGTGCACCACAACGCCTTTGTACATCACACTGTTTGTGCACACTACGGCGCCTGTGCACCACAGCTGCTGCTTCAACACCCCCTGTGCACCACAGTGCATGCAAGCTTGTCACCAAAACGCGGAAAGCCGCTCGGGGCCCGAACGTATCACACACAATAAGTGAATTGACTGTAATTCCTCGTTTTTCTGGCCCGAGGAGCGCTCGGATATTTTGGGCCCACAACGCTTGTGTACACCATAACGACTGTGCGCGTCATGGCAACTGCGCGCACCACGGCACCCGTGAACACCATGCGGTTTCGGGGCGCGCGGAGCGGCGTCAGCCGAGGGAATACAGGCAGGAGAAGCAAACGGAACAGCAGCACCAGCAGGAGGAGTAAAAGAAACCCCACGATGGGGGTCGACAGCTAAGGGCCCGCGGCCTTTCTCCAAGAACACTGCCAAGATGCACGCCACTATCTGACAACATGTACACTCTGTGGCCCCGACGGAGCCACATTCCGGGAAATCGTTGGGGGCCCCGATGTATCAGATTCAACCTGTGGTCTGTGATTATTGGTTTTTCTGGTCCGAGGAACGCTAGGACCCTGTCAGTCTACAGCGAATGTCAAACACAACGCCTGCGTGCACCACGAGGCCTGTGTACACCACAATACTTGTGTACACCACAATGCCCGCGTCCTGTATGCGCGAGGAGGACGACGACGATGAGAACGAAACTGAAGTGGGAGGGAAGTGGGAGGAGGAAGAAAAAATAGGAAGAGATGCGCGTGTACATAATAGCTCACGGTGCACGTTACATCATAGCGACCTTGCGCACTACAGCGATTGTGCACACCACGGCGCCTGTGTACACCACAGGGTTTGTGATGTTCGTGCGTACACCCATCTTGCCCGTGTGTACCACAGCTGCTGCTGCAACGACAATTGTGTGCGCCTCAGCGCTGGTGTACATCGCAGTGCCTGCGTACACCATAATGCACGTCCGCGTGCACCGCGGCCCCAGTAGTGCCCGCGTGCACCACAGACCCTAGGCTGCCCAGGATCGCGCACTGGACTGGGCCTGGGCGTTACTGCCACGGGGGGGCAGGGTGGGGGTAATATGTTTTATCCATTGGGTGGATCAAGAAATAGTCTCGAACCAAACCAGACCAAACAAGTCGGATCAGAGCAGACCAACCTTGACCAGCCAGCTCCAGCAGCGAGGGCACATGCATTGGACAAACGACTGCAATGCAAAACGAAGATGCAATGCACAAAAACTATTCGTTTGGTGGTCGTCGCCGCATGCGCCCTTCGACCCTCCCTGCACCTCACCAAAACCCCGCTCGACTCGCGCGAGGAATCCTAAGCTCAAGCTCTGGATGCGAAGCAGCACAACTCCGAAGCTCAAGAGCAAGCCCCGAGCTGCAAGCGTTCTCGTCTGAGGCTTGGCGTCTCACCCTGCGCTGCACGGCCAAGAACTTTCCAGGCGATGGATGGGCGACAAGCTGTCGCCGCCGAACAGACGCGCGACGACGATGTGGGCGAGAAGAGCGAGACTTTTGTTGACCGCGCGCCGAACTGGGAGCCGGCGGTAAGCCGTCAACCTTGGTTACCGCCGGGAACTCGTAGAGCTTCCTCGTGCAATGCGGGCGCGGAATCTCGCATTGTGCGCGCGAGGGCGCGGTCTGATGAAGGAGGACGTGGAGAACAAATTTTCGGAGGTCCGCGTGGACTTCGGGGTCGGCGTTGCAGGCGCCGCCAGGGTGGGCCCAGCGCCGATCCGAGAAACCCGCGCGAAGCTCCGACCCTTTATGTTTATGTTGTTCTTCGACCCCCGTCGTTGCGGTGCGGCGATGTGCTGTCAACCAAACCTGCGGGGTGGGCTCTTTTCCTTGTCTCTGTGCACTTCAGCTTCGGTTTCAATGAAGGGGCCCTTGGACACACAAATAAATACACACAAATAAACATGTTCCCAAAAGGTTCCCCATATGTTCCTATATTTTCTGGGCTTTGTCTTCCCACCCAATTCCCATATTTTCCTAAATTTTCTTGGGGATCGACGATTAATTGTGTCTGTGTTTTTTCCCCTCCTGATTCAACTTCGTCTGCCGATGCACCGTGAAACGCACTCGGGCCTGCTAGCCCGAGTCGGATTTTCCGCTCGCACGGGTGCCCCCCCCTGTCGATGCACCTGGATAGCGGGCAGGACATCCACCTCCAGAATGATCACCCCGACTCGCGAAGCCGTTTGGTAAACGCACCCACAGAAGGAATCGAACAGGACAGGGCGGTTCAGTAAACGCCCAGGGCCGTTTAGCAAACGGCAGTTATCGGGTCTGGGTGGTTTCTCCTCCCCTGACTGGAGGCCGGACGAGGCGAACCGCCAGCCGCCTCGATTCTAACGCTGGACGCCTGGGGTGGTGAGCCGTCGCCGTTGCCGCCGCCGCCGAGGACGGCGGCGGGGCGGCGAGGACGGCGCAGCGACGAGGCAGACCCCCGCGCCTGTGGGGACGGTCGTCGAGATCCCTGCGGGATAAACGGCGACGGCGCAGGTCTCGACGACGACGACGACGACGACGACGACGACGACGACGACGACGACGACGACGACGACGACGACGACGACGGACCGCGACAGGGCGCGGCCTGACCGTTCGCCTCCGTGCCGAGCCCCTTCCGCAACGGCCCCCTCGCCCTGGAGGCCCCCCCCTCCGGCGGTCTGCCCAGCTACTGGAGCGGGGCGCCAGGGGTCGTCGCGCAAAGGGCCTGCCAGAGGAGAAGAAGGAGGAGGAGGAGGAGGAAGAGGAGGAGAAGGAGGAGGAGGAAGAGGAGGAGAAGGAGGAGGAGGAGGAGGAGGAGTGCTGCAAGGGTCGGTCGCGCCGCCCGCCTCCCCTCCCGCGGCGGCGCGGGCTCCGTCCTCGCATGGAACCGTCATCTTGATCGCGCGGCCCTCCCCACCTTTGCCATAAACTCGGCGCGACCGCGCGGCAGGGAAGGCAACAGGAAGGGGAGGACGGAGGGGGGGGAGGGACGGGACGGGGGAGGGGGGCGATGGACGCGGGGCGGAGGCAGGGCAGAAGGGAGGGGGAGATGGGGGGAAGGGTAGAGGGAATGGGGAGGCGGGAAGGCAAGAGGGGCGGGACGGGACGGTTGCGGTCTGGCGCGGCGTGTTCCCCCGAGGCAGCGCGAAAGGCCACCGGCGCAGACATGACGGGACACGCGTCTGCGCAGGCAAGGAGTGGGAGACATGGTAAGCTGTGGGAGGGAGCAGGGAGGGCGGAGGAAGTAGGGCGGGGCGACCAGAGGGGGGCATGGAGGGAGGAGGCAAGAGGGAAGGGGGATACGTAGTTGATGAGGGTCAAGGGCGGGGGAGGGCCAACTCAGGATTGAGACGTCTTGCCAGGCCGTGGATGATTGCACCCGGGCTGGTCGAGAAAAGGATCGGGAACGGTGTCCTATCCCATGCTCCCTGCGCACGCAAATGCCCCTCGCTCCTCCCAGACCACCCTCTGCACCGTTCATCGTGCCTTCCTGCCCCTGCCCCCCCCTCTCCATCCCTCGCCCCTCGCCCTCCTCCCTCGCCCTCGCCCTCCTCTCTCGCCCCTCGCCTTTTCTCCCTCAACCCCTCGCCCTCCTCCCTCGCCCCCTACCCCTGGCCTTCCCCCGTCCCCCTCCCCCTCCTCCCCATCCTCCTCCCTCTCCTCTGGGTGCCTGGCGCCTGGAGGCGAAAGGATCCGTCGGATGCCGCCCCCCCCCCCCCAAGGCTGGCCGGCCCTGGGGGGGAAGCCAGGCGACTCCCGGAGCAGTTGCGCCAGGAGTCGCAGGCTGGTGGGAGATGAACGTGAACAGTAGGCAGCAAACGGCGACAGCAGAGGAGAGGGACCAGAGAGAGAGAGAGACAGACAGACAGACAGACAGACAGACAGACAGACAGACAGACAGACAGACAGACAGACAGACAGACAGACAGACAGACAGACAGACAGACAGACAGACAGACAGACAGAGGGAGAGCGAGAGAGAAAGAAAGAAAGAGGAAGAGAAAGAGAGAGAGAGAGAGAGCAAGAGAGAGAGAGAGAGAGAGAACAGAGAGAGAGAGAAAGAGAAACCAAAAACAAAAACGACGGGGGGAAGGAGAAGGGGAGGAGGAATCTGAGCGGCAGGCGGTGGCGGCGGTGGCGGTGGTGGGGCTACGTCGGGTGCCGCCTGCTTGGGTGGAAGGCTCACAATGGCTTCCCCGCCGTGGGCCCACCCGGCCATAAGGGACCCCCCGCAAGCTTTCCCCAGGTCATCGACGGGATCCCTCTCGCACAAGCATAGAGGCCTCCTAGATGGGGTCGGAGCAGATGGTGTCACAGGATCGCGCCGCATCGCCGATGCATCGGCGACGTCGGCGTGAAGAAAATCAAGCTCCACATCGAGCCGCATCGTCGATGCATCGCCGATGTATCGGCAATGCCGCGCGATCCTCCGACCCCATCTATGCCGACCCCATCTGTCTGTAAGGCCTAGAAAGAAGGCGTAGGGTTCCCACTGCATCGACCTGGAGGCCGCCCGGGACGGGGTCCACGGAGCGTGGGGGAGGTTCGAGCACTCCGCGGGGCAAGAGGTGGCGTGGTGCCCGCTGGGCAGTGCCACTCGCGCCAGAGTGGAAGGGAAGAAGGTATCTCTCCCTCTGGCCATAAGAGCCCCCGCATGCGTTCACTGGCCCCGCGACTGGTGCCCTCACCTGCCAAGCAGGCGTAGGAAACCCATGCCGCGAGGCTGGCGGCCGCGTGGGAATGTCCACCGGGCGTGGGGGAGGTGTGCACTTTCTGTGGCGGTGGCCACCGTTGACGCAGGTGATACCCCCCAGCAACCTCCCCTGCTGATCCACCCGTCCAAGGGTGACGGCGGCGGCGTGCACAGCGGCACATTGGCGGCTAGGTGGCGAGGTAAAAGAGGTAAGCGTACGAAGGAGGAGCAATAGCCCTGATGGCTTGCTGCACTGCTGTTGCGGCCACCTGGCCAACAGTGGCGATGGAGATGAGATGGTGGCTGGAGGAGAGGGGCGAGCGGGGGTGACGCAAGCGAGGTATGCATTCGAAGGAGGAGCGATCGCCCTGATGGCTTGCGCACTGCTGGTTGCGGCCGCCTGGCCGACGCCTTAGCGTGCGTCGGAGCGGGTGGCTCGGCGGATGACGCTATGCGCCGCGGCCTCTCTGGCCCGTGCCGGTCGGCCGACGGTCCATTTGTCATCCCCCAGCCAATGATGCGCCCCCCACCAGCTGATCCACCCGCCCCACAGTGACGGTGGCGGCGTGTGCAAGCCATCAGGCCTTCGAACGCATACCTCGCCTGCATCACCAACCGCTCGCCCCGCTCCCCTAGCCACCACCTCCGTCGCCACGATGCTGGCCAGGCGACCGCGACAGCAGTGCGTCAAGCCATGTTGCTTATGCTCCTCCTTCGTACGCTCACCTATCTCACCTCACCACCTGGCCGCCAATTTGACGCTGCAAGCTGCTGGTTGCGGCCGCCTGGCCAACGCCTGAGCGTGCGTCGGAGCGGGTGGCTCGGCGGATGTCGCTATGCGCCGCGGCCTCTCTGGCCCGTGCCGGTCGGCCGACGGCGAGGTCCCTTTGTCGTCCCCCAGCCAATGATACGCCCCCCATCAGCTGATCCACCCGTCCCACAGTGACGGTGGCGGCGTGCGCAAGCCATCAGGCCTTCGAACGCATACCTCGCCTGCATCACCAACTGCTTGCCCCGCTCCCCTAGCCACCGCCTCCGCCGCCACGATGCTGGCCAGGCGACCGCGACAGCAGTGCGTCAAGCCATGTTGCTTATGCTCCTCCTTCGTACGCTCACCTATCTCACCTCACCACCTGGCCGCCGATTTGACGCTGCAAGCTGATGGTTGCGGCCGCCTGGCCAACGCCTTAGCGTGCGTCGGAGCGGGTGGCTCGGCGGATGTCGCTATGCGCCGCGGCCTCTCTGGCCCGTGCCGGTCGGCCGACGGCGAGGTCCCTTTGTCATCCCCCAGCCAATGATACACCCCCCATCAGCTGATCCACCCGTCCCACAGTGACGGTGGCGGCGTGCGCAAGCCATCAGGCCTTCGAACGCATACCTCGCCTGCATCACCAACCGCTCGCCCCGCTCCCCTAGCCACCACCTCCGTCGCCACGATGCTGCCCTGGCGACCGCGACAGCAGTGCGTCAATCGATATTGCTTATGCTCCTCCTTCGTACGCTCACCCATCTCACCTCACCACCTGGCCGCCGATTTGACGCTGCAAGCTGCTGGTTGCGGCCGCCTGGCCGACGCCTTAGCGTGCGTCGGAGCGGGTGGCTCGGCGGATGTCGCTATGCGCCGCGGCCTCTCTGGCCCGTGCCGGTCGGCCGACGGCGAGGTCCCTTTGTCATCCCCCAGCCAATGATACGCCCCCCATCAGCTGATCCACCCGTCCAATAGTGACGGTGGCGGCGTGCGCAAGCCATCAGGCCTTCGAACGCATACCTCGCTTGCATCACCAGGCGCTCGCCCCACTCCCCTAGCCGCCACCTCCGTCGCCACGATGCTGCCCTGGCGACCGCGACAGCAGTGCGTCAAGACGCCATTTTGCTTATGCTCCTCCTTCGTACGCTTACCTCGCTCACCTCACCACCTGGCCGCCAGTGTGACGCTGCAAGCTGCTGGTTGCGGCCGCCTAGCCGACGCCTTAGCGTGCGTCGGAGGCGGTGGCTCGGCAGATGTCGCTATGCGCCGCGGCCTCTCTGGCCCGTGCCGGTCGGCCGACGGGGAGGTCCCTGTGTCATCCCCCAACTGGTGATTCCGCACACACGAGGGGAAGGATTACAGTCAAAAACCTGAAATAAGGACGCGCGACTTTGCTCAGGGTACCCTTGCTCTTCCTTGCTCTTCCTTGCTCTTGCGTCCTTGAGGTTTTCGTCGTCCGCCGCCCCAAAAATCCCAACTTCGGCTTCCAAGGGTCTTGCGTCCTTACAGCGCGTCCTTATTAGGGTTTTTGACTGTAGGTTAGTGGGGACACGCGGGTGGAGAGAGGATAGTTACGAGAAGGTGAGCCAGTAGGGCGTGAAGGTTGGGTGAGGGCCTCCAGGCCAGAGAAAGGAGGCCCCAGTTCGCGTTGCTATCCCCAAGGCCCCAGCTCGCAGCTGGTGATTAGGGCCCCCAAAGGGGGGGCATGAGAGAGTTCGATCCAGGTCTGTGTAATTTTCGCGTTCGCAGCACGTCGGTAATGTAGTAGACGTGGGTGAGAGAAGCCCCTGGGGGACCCACTGCGTAGCATCGCTGTAGCTGTGCCCGGCGTGGTGCGTGCCGCGTGATGACCACGGGAGCTCTGAGAGATGCCGTCGCCTTGGAAATGTCGGAAGTTGGGGGGGTAGCGGCATTTGCGCGCCACCTGCTGCTGCTGCTGCTGCTGCTGCTGCTGCTGCTGCTGCTGCTGCTGCTACTGCTGCGGGTTAGTCCAGTGAGTGCGCCTGATGGGTAAAAGGGGCTGTGCAGAGAAAGGATGTGGGATGGAGCAGCTGGCCGCGGGTGGAAGCTGCTGTCGGTCGAGTTGAACACTACTGCACAAAATTCTGGAGGTGGATGACGCACTGACGGCCCGCCGTTCGGCCAGTCCCATCGTGAGGCGCGTGCCTCGTTCGTTGTGGGCGATCAGGGGGAAGCCTCCTGATTCACCAAGCTGGTCGGAAGGTCGAGCTGGTATGCGGCTTTGAACGATGACCGCGGATGCCATGGTTGCTCTGTGCCAAGTGGGGTGGCTGCATCCATGGTGCGGATCTCATCTGCTGTAGCATGGTCCATGGCACTGTCCGCATGCTCTCCCCCGCGGTGGTCAAAGTCTTCTGGTATCGCCAGAAGGTGGCTCTCCTCCTTTTCCTCCTCCTCCTTTTCCTCCTCCTCCTCCTCCTCCTCCTCCTCCTCTTCCTCCATCTCCTCATCCTTACTCCCCTGTCCTTCTC